AAAAAAAAAAAAAAAAAAAAAAAAACCCAGAAAATAACAAGTGCTGGCGAGGGTGTGGAGAAGCTGGAATCTTTGTGCATTGCTGGGGCGAACGTAAGATGGTGCAGCCGCCATGAAACAGTATGGCAGCTCTTCAGAAAGTCAGACACAGAATTACCATATAGGCTAGCAATTTGACTTCTGGGCATTTATCCAAAAGAACTGAAAGCAGCAACTCAAAGAGATATTTGTATATCCCTGTTCGCAGCAGCATTATTCATAACAGCCAAAAGCTGGAAGGAAACCAAACATCCACTGATGGATGAATGGATAAACAAGATGTAGTGTACACATACAATGGCATATTATTCAGCCTTAAAAAGGAATGAAATTCTGACACAGGCTACGATGTGGATGAACCTCGAGGACATTATATGCTAAGTGAAGCAAGCCAGACACAAAAAGACAAACACTGTATGGTTCCACTTATATGAGGTACGTAGAACAGTCAAATTCGTAGAAACAAAAAGGTATAGATAGTTTCGGTTTTGCAAGATGAAAAAATTCTGAAGATTGGTTACAAAATAATGTAATACACTTAAACATGGTTAAGACAGTAAATTTTATGTTATGTGTATTTTACTACAATTAAAAAAAGATACATTTAAACAGTTAATGCCTGCACCTAATTACAAATTTCCCCAAATCTGGCATACCTGTCTCTCTGATGAGCTGGGTAAGGTTAGCACATAAGTCCCTAGTTTATTATCACCCCCATCAACCGTCAACTCACTCTCGGACTCCACTCCACTCCACTCCACTCCACTCCACTCCACTGTAGTGGAATTCTGCCTCCACCACAACTGATCCAGACCAGAAATGAGGCGGTCTAAAGCTTTCTGGGAAATAAAAACAAATAGAAAGGGGCCCACACGTGCACACTTTCTTAAACACCTTCAAGCTTTTTTACTTACTGTTTAACAAGAATTTAGTTGAACTGTAAAAGTACATTACTGGCATAACAAACAAAATCAGAGTAAATAAATGTAAATTCAGCATTTACTTCTCTACAAGTTTCTGATTTTTACTTCAGAATGGTGATAAACACCAGCTCACTTTGCTTACTCACTGTGCACTCGTTTGGGAATGGAAATGGGTGTATTTTGGTTAACAGGCAAAAACTTCTTTTTCCCTTACTTCTTCTGGTCTACACCCCACAATTTAATTCAGGTCAACAAAAGATTAAAATCTGTCAAAGATAATCACCGTGAACAGAATCAGCTCACGAGCATTTAACGGAGGCTGGGTGCAAACTAACGCATGAGAGGCACGGCCGGGTGTCCGGTACACATCCTTACTTGCACAAGCGTGTCCAGTGTAAAGATGTGCTCCCCGCGAACATTGTAGAACTTGACCATGGCACTCTTCAGAAGAGGGCCATTGGGAAGGTCACCGAGCTGGGTCGGGCGCTCCATGCCAGCGACTGCCAGGAGGTCTCCCTGCGTGCACCACTGGGCCACCACCTCTGAAATCAGAAAGAGGAAAACGGTCAGCACGAGGGTGGGACCCTTGCTTTCCTGCAGAGATGCTCTGGCTTGGTCAGAGTCTGAATTCATGACTGAATTATTTTTCCTTGAAAGATAACAGAGTGTGCACCCCAAGATATGCCACATTGGCGTGAGAATTACGTAGAGCTGAAGGCAATGGAGAAGCAGCAGATAGAAGAAAAGCTCTCTCCCTTCCCCCTACTTGCCTAGAAGCAGGACATAAATCTGTGAAGGTGTCTACCCATCCCCCACCAGGAAGGACAGAAATGAACCACTGGTGACAACTCTAGACCATTATCAACACCAGGGGAATCTGCATAACAAACTTTACTGACTGGCCCTTATCCTCCATTAGCTCCCCCATATATTTACCTTCCCACAATCTGCCGTCCTAGAAACCTCAAGTCTTCTCCTTGTCTTGTCACTTCTCCAAAAAATGTATTTTGTTCTTTTGTTAACATGCTATCTAAACCCTTTGAGCTACTCATCTCTGTGCTTCCACAGGTAAGCACAGCGCACGTGTTGTTAAGCTTCTGCGTGTTTTCCTCTGGTCAATCAGTTTTTTGTCAGTCTAACTTACAGGGCCTGGTCTGAGAGCCTAAGATGGTAGAGGGGAAATAGCCTTTTTCCCCCCTCCCCGCTACGTCCTCAAGAAAGAGGAAAGTCACAATAAAGGGTAAAAACCCCAAGTGAGGTGAAGCAATTTACAGTTCACTGTGTGATAAACAGAATTCCCCGAAGCTGGGATGCTCAGCAGATGTTTCTTCAAGGCAGACCTTCCTCAGCAAACATCAGCGAGGTAAAATCCCTCCAACCCCACGAGTCTGCAGTGAAAACGGAGCTGACAGGGGTGGGAAAGAGGGCTGGCCGTGGAGACCACGAGGGGTCCAGCACTGTAAGCTCTTGTGCACATGACACAGATTACAGTGCTGGTGACAAGCTGGGGAATACCAGGAGTCACCTTTCTTCGCTGGAAAAGTTCTCTGATGATGTTTCTTCGAGACAGTAAAAAAGAAATACGAGACCCTTTTGCTCTACAGATCTTCCTTGGCTTACAACAGGGTTACGTCTGGATAAATCCATTGTAAATTGGAAATGCATTTAATACACCTAACCTTCCGAACACCACAGCTTAGCCTCACCCACCTTAAACACGCTCAGAACACCTACATTAGCCTACAGTTGGGCAAAATCATCTAACACAAAGCCTATTTTATAATAAAGTGTTGAATATCTCACGTAATTCACTGAATACTGTACCGAAAGTGAAAAACAAAGTGTCCAGGTACAGAGTGGTTTTAAATGTATCGCTTTTTGACCCTCGTGATCGCGGGGCTGCCTGAGAGCTCCGCTCGCTGCTGCTGCCCAGCATCACGAGAGAGGGTGGGATTGCATGTCACTAGCCTGGGAAAAGATCCAAATTCAAAATTCAAAATACAGTTTCTACCAAAGGCATATATCGCTTTTGCACCGTCATAAAGTTGAAAAACCCCAGGTTGAACCGCAGTAAGTCAGGGACTGTCTGCACCTTGCGAGTCAAACGACCGACCTGTCCGTGATGGGACAGGTTACCGCAGATGGAAGAAGCTGCGGCGAGCCATCTCTGACAGCACCTGGCGACCTGTTCCCAGTATTTACTAACATATCCCATAAAGTGGTGGACAAAAATAAATAAATTTTCAAAAAACGACTGCTGTCCATACCACACGTAAGACTGAAATATTCTGAAACCAAGACAGAAGAGAGAAACTGCCTACATGCAGCACCTACTGGATGACACCAATTTACTGAAACGTCACCTAACTTTCTGAAATTGGGAAGACAGCGCAAAAGCATCTCGTGTCATGAGGGCCTAAACGATTGAAAACATTTTGCGATTAGACTGAGATTTCTAGTTAGGTCATCACGAGAATGCTAAATTTGCCTGTATTTTTAGGCTAAAGCTCAAGTCAAGAACCTTCACATTTGGGAGGGGTACTTTGGGTCGCCTCCCCAAGTCACCTCACCTTCATGTTCCTAATCCTCTCATGCCCATTGTGGGAATGTGTTAGAAGGGCTGCTCCAATATAATTTAGTTTGATAGAGAACAAAAGAATACATCCAAGGAATAAAAAATAACGTTTCCATAGGTAGTTTCCAAGATGGTGAAAAATTTGAAAAACTCACCCTACAAAGAATACAAAGGAACTGAGCGGTAATTATGATGTTTTCAGTCCAGATCAGACACTTGGTAGAGAACGGAGTTCAGGACGGCAGAACTAGAGGCAGGTACTGATGCAATTAATAAACTTGGTTAAAAGGTTTAAAAATAGAATTTTAGAAGAACAAAAGTAGAGCTTGGATCACTAAATATATGAGAGAATTTATGATGACTACCTTTTTGTTTTAGCTCCATGAAAGACAGAAAATTCAGAAAAGAATTTACAGAAAAGTCCAAGGAATTTAAGTTCATCATCATCGTAAAAAGAAACTTACTCAGCTCCTAACGGATCCATTTGTGATAATAAAGAAGGACGTCTACATGCCCCTCCGGAATTTATAGGCTAAATAATTCCTTACAATTATAGTTCTGAAACAGCAAATGGGACACTTAAAAGAGAGAGTTTAACTTGTTTCCAAGAATATCCAATAGTTCTGAAACAGAATTAAGTGCTTGTGGGGTGTGCAGGCAGGTACGATGCATTCCCGCCAATCAACAGTTAAGTATCTGGACTTGATTCTCCATATCC